TAATATCAATTTGTAAGTAGCTTATCGCTTACAAATTGACATCTATAGCATGTTTCTGAGAAATATAAATTTGGTATAATCGTTCCTTTATACGTATGTCAATCATGTTTGTGTTGACAGGAGTTTTACAAAATCAGAAGAAATTTAATAACAAAAAACAAATCTGAAACTTTTTGTGGATTAAAAATTATATAATATATTTTTTTATAGAAAAAAGACAGGGAAGATGATATGTATGGAAATGTTTCTTTTTTTAAACAAGATATAACAAAATCTATTACCATATTAATATTGAAGGAACGATGATCTACATATACTTTCACAGACACATGCTAGATACAAATGTACTGATTTGTCTGCCCATTTGCGTTGAGATATTGTCAATTTAAAATATATACCAAAAGAAGATGAGAGTCTTCAGACATTAAAGAGTGATCAAAATTAATATTTGAAAAGAAAAGAAAATGACAGGAAACGCAAGGCATTCGGATTTCTATGGCTCTACTTCAGAAACAGATCTCAGAGAGAGAGATTTAAGTGATAAGCGCTGGTCACCAATATAATTGTTGAGTATGTTTCTTATTGAAATGTTATATGCTATTATTTATAAAGACACAGGCAACATTGAATTTTTACAATTAACTTACTTTTCATCTTATTTTCCAATACAGTTTGATATAAACACATAAGAGGCATGTATCAATCAAAACAAATTATATATTTACTTTATGTAATATAAATTTCTTTTTTCTAAAGGAGTACTATAAAACTTGCAATTCTGTCGATATATGTAGCAATATTCACTACTTAAATTGTTTATAATATTTATCACATTATTCTTTTGAAAGCTCTCGCATTTCTGATAATTTTTTTACTTATGTATTGCACTTTATAGGATTAATTGTTATTAATTGTATAGCGTTTTTGTTATCTTTAAGACTGCGTATAGAGAATGAGAATCCTTTCCTTTATTTAAGCAGAGTATATTCGTGTTTACGGCACTAGTAAAATGATATATTATCTGTAAAAAAAGGAAAACAGTAGTGAAATATTTATGGAAACACACTATTAGGAAAATATGTCAAAATTTAGATACATAGTACACATAATGACACGACGTGATATACGAATCTATTACTCTCTATTGGGTTTATAGAAAATTTATAATACCCCCGCGTACGTATAGGTATTATATAATTGGTTTGTTTCCAAAAATGACAAAAACTAGACACAATATCGTGTTATCAATTTGATTTAAATAATACAGATAATATTATATTTAATTGTACTTTTGTGTAATAAATAGAGTATTATGCATTTGAACTAGAAGGAGTATGTTATGTGAATATTGATATCGTTTGGCATATTTAGTATTGTTTGTAAGCAACATCAACACAATTACTAACTAACACACGTACATACATATATTTATACATATGAAAAAGTATGTTTATATGTATATAGATGCCTGCGTGCATAGGTATATATACAGATATATTCATACTTGCGCAACTCGTTGCGTATAAAGAATAGTTTATTTAAAGTTTCATGAATTTAGAAAATGATATATCAACGTTGTATTTATAAATATTTAATAGATATAAAGGAGAGAAGTAAACCGATAGGGAGAGATTATTAGTGCTGTTAAAGTTTTATCAAGCATGTATAATTTATGATGCCTGTTGCACTTTCTTTAAATAGAAATTATATTTATATTGTATTCTTGACGTTTGGATTTCGTAGTGTATGTACATTTTACGTCGAAATGTTCAAGGCGAAAAATTATTAGTCGGTAAATCCATCTGATGACAAACTGACAACAGCGCAAAATAACTATAAATCACCGAGGTTTTCAAAGTTATGAGCGAAAAAGGCAGCGGTATACGCAGATTAGCATTTAATTATACGCTTAGTTGATGGCTTATTAGGATGGCAGTGCTAATTAAGATTTTGTGAAGCTCCTAGTAAATAATTATCATTATATTCAATACATTATTCTACTAATAATTATAGCTCCATATTTTTCAATTATAGTCACTACGTCCCTTATATAAAGAAACTTTCTTTTAATACATATATTTAAAAATATACCTTTCCTTTCCAAAACTTGATATTATAATTTACAGGGTGTTCTAGATTTCTACATCTTTTATCCATGAATCTTTTCTAGAGAATCGGTTTCAAAATTATCAAAGAAAAATATAAAACGTAGCTCAGTAGGTTTGGAATCTTATAAGTACAGCAATACTCATACTTTTAGACAAGATTACATGTATGTATATATAAGTTATATATCGCTATTGTATTGCGTACTTTCAACTATTAATTACAAATTATATGTATATTTCTTTAATTATTCATTTATCTCGAGAAAGAATATTACACACAGAAAAAAGCCTCTAAAACGTAGTAAAAGAAATTGCAAAATTACCGCTATAAGAGGATTGAATATGATGCTATAATAGAAGATATATTGACGTTATAATATTATTTAATAAAGAGGAGTATATGTTGTGTGTATATGTATATACACATATATACGTGATATACATGTATGAGTGGTTTTTATATCGTGATATCTTGATGTATTCAAGCTATTATCGCGAAAATCACGCCATCTCAACTATAATTACTTATATGTAATTTACATCTTTCTATTTAAGATTTACTTTTCACTTTTACTTCAGCAAGCAATAATTACATATTCTGTGACGCGTACGATTTTCTGAGGGATTTCCTTTTATTCTATGCTCAAAGCAGGGGAGACATTGGGATTTTCTCGAAGAGCAATAGACAAATCACCCTATATAAGTATTTATATACATGTATATATACATATGCATATATGTGTGTAATAATAGGAAATATATTCTAGGACACACTGGTGTACGATGGGATCTTATAACGCGTACATTCCTATGTAAATAAAGAAGAGTCTCTGACTTTTATTTGATTCGCCACCATTTCCAGCTGGATTTCGTGCAATAAAGGGCCAGCTTAACTAATAACATCATTATGCGCCTTTCACGCAACAACGACGATCTCGCGGACCTAATTTTTTCACTCTTTCTCTCTCTCTCTCTCTCTCTCTCTCTTTCTTAAGTTCCGTGTCCGATATCAGAATCGGTCCGGCTCCAACTGCAGTTTCATTGTCTTTTTATATACAAAAATATAAAATAATATTCTAACACAAACAGCGAATGCGTCGATTTAAGGAAGCATCTACGTTCGCGTGAAAACAAAAATGTGTATTTATACATATAAGGGATAAAATAAAAAAGAAATATATATATATATATAAATATATGCCGAGTTATCTCGCTGTATTAAAGTTTTAGGGCGATATATAATTGTGAGCGAGTAATTAAGGCTTATATCGAGTATCACATATGAGATGTAAAAGAGCGTAAAAGCGAAACGCGAGATAACTCGCAAACGTGTTCTCCGAGTAGCATTTGATTTTTTTTTTAACAATGCGACATCGCGAGACACATCTGGACAAGTTTGCGATTCTGCTGATATTGTACATAACGCAGCTTTAACGGCTCATCCAGGCTCATCTTCAAGCACGTGGAAACGAGAGAGTTTCATGAGCACCACGAAGGCGTCAGTTCCCTTATGGGGGACATTTATTGTTGCTCCATAAAAGCCGGCATTCCAAGCACTTAGGCGGAAGCTAACAGACAAAATAGTCGAGAGGAAGAGGATTGTATAGGATCAACTTGAAAACAAAATGGAGATAACAGAGGTCTCCGATCTCTTCAATATGTATTTTCCCTCTCCGGAAACAACCATTTCCGCCTCACTTTTCTCGCGGCGGTTGGAAGAAAGACTTGCTGAATATTAATCAAACGATAGCGATCAATTGTAAATGGCGTAATGTACGTGCTCTTCCCTAAATATGTGATTACCGTGTAATAGTCTGTGCTTTATTTGTAATATACGCAAACTATTGGATATACAAATAAATTAACTGTTAAGCGACGCACTTTGTTGACTTAAAGAGCGAGAGTGCATTTGAAAATAATTATGATCGTATTCCGATATAATGTCAGTATTGAAAATCTATAGTATCTATACTATACGTGACCTGTTATACATTTTTAGTACCGGTAAAAGTGTATATCGCGGAATATAATTTAAGATACATCAGTATAAAGAATTTTTTTTAAATAATCTGAATAAGCACATTAAAAGTCCCATTAACATAACATCATTTTTATAATTTCACACTCAAGAATATAACTGTTACATAAAATTGTTATATATATTGTCGAATATGAAATTATAATTAACATCCAGCGACCGAGCTGACATTATTTATCATTTGATATCGAAATTATGTTAAAGACAATTAATATAATGTCAACTTGTTTGCTGAACGTTGATGTTATGTTATTATTAGCTTAATTAATTGTTGGACTGATGACAAATTGATGTTATTCTACGTAGTACAGATGTTCAAGAGATGTTCTGAAGGATGTCCCAATATCTAGAGAAACGGTCAAGGAAGATCTCTGAGATAAAGTGTATTGTTTTGTATGAGATGTTAGTTAAATTACTGTTATTATAGTTAATGTGCTAAAAGTTTATATGCTGGGATATAATGTTTTCAATTATATTTTGAATTGTATAAAATAATTTTATGATACGTCCAAACGTATAGAAAAGAGATCGCGATTTGAATGATTAAAAATGGACACACAGTAATTTAACCAATTGTTTCAAATTTTTAATTTTTATTTATTATCAAATAAAAGTAACACATTTTACCTTGTATGGATATTTTGGTAAGAAAAGGCGGAAAGACTTCGTGTTTTCCGCCGAACCGACCTGACACCGTTTTGCATCTACCAGAGAAATGAATTCCCAGCGAGAAATAACTTCTCAAATCCAAGTTGATTCGACGTTGAATTAACATTTTTCATCTAGTCATTTCTTACTAGGCTGTAATTTGAATATTTATTGTTTTTGAATAATTTTAACAATCATCTAGCGTCTTATCATGTCTTTATTTTACAAACAAAAATCGGAATCAATATCAGAATCGCAATGATCGTCAGAATTAATTACTGAAGATATATTATCGAAACCGGTATATTTCTCATTCGTTGTAATCGTGGTTGCAGCATGAACTGTTGGAGAATCTAATAATTCGATAACTTCTGGCGATAATGACTTGAGTGGCTTTTGTGGCAATTTTCTTATATTAGAAATATACGGATCTGAAATGACTATCAGCCAGTTGAAAACGTCTCGCATGGTGTTCTTCCTCAGAAATTTTCGTGAGAAATCTTCACAAAATTTTTTAATATCCTCATGATTTCGTGCTTCCTGAATATTCTCAGATAATTGTCCTATCGATAACAAAGCGGAAGTTATCATTTCTGGCCCATGAATTAAAAGTTTATGTACTGAAATTGGCATGTGATACCACGGGTATAACTCGACAAATTTCCGGGCAGTTTCCAAAGTATATTCTCGAAATTTGTCGCATTTAATATTATAGCCACTTGAAATAGTTTGCAAAATCACATAAAATCGATTGATTAAACATTCAGAGACACCTGTTATTGTAGCAGATATACTAGAGTTTTCGAAAAATCGCTTAGCAGTGTTTCCGTCATTGATGTTTCCGTAATCGGGTTTTGAATGATCGACAACTAATCCCAATTGTAGGCGAAATCCCTTTTGAATAATCCTTTTGCATTCTTCCATAATTGTTATTTCCTCCTGAGTGTGTACTTGATACTTTTTAATTTTGAGTCTGTACGATAAATGCAAACAGCATTCAAAAAAACGTATCCAAACGTGTAATGTTGACAATCCAAATCGTGGATTAGTTTCAGTAATTTCTTTCTGCAGAATCTCATCTATGTTATTGAAATCCTTGAGTGCAGTTCTGCATAAATAACAGTACCGAGTTAATTTTGTATTTGACATCGCATTGCAAACTTGATTATCTATCTTTGTAAACATCATGCTGTATTTAATACAGATCTCCATTCCATGTATTTGTGTTGTAAAAGGAACAAGCGACTTCACCTGTTGTTCAATGTCATCTTTATTGATTGTCGACTCAACATTTTTATGCAGAAACTGCAATCGTATCGGTCTCGAGAATCGAGAAGACGATGGTCTAGGATTCTTCCAGACAACAACTTCTGTATTTAATTCAAAGACCTTACACACGAGCTGTAATGGCACAAGTGAGGTGAACAATATATTTTCATCTAATTTGCCGTCTTTGGTAAACCTCTGCTCGTAAACGTTTTGTCCACTTCTTCTGTCACAACCCCACTTACAAATGAGATGCATATTTCTTGCATTGTCCACGGTCAAGGTACCAATAATTTCCCTTTGGAAGAACAAAATACGCTTTGCTGTATGATCCAACAAAGCCTGCAATTTTATTTCTGCATGACACTTTGTGATCGTAATGCTAGTATATGGTGGATAACAACGATTTTTTGCTTTTAAAACGTTATTGTAGGATGGATACAATTTGCAGTTATTTTCTTTGCTTATTTTTCTCATACTCTGATAAGTACGCTTCGAGAACTTATGTTCGATCAGAACCGAAAGTGCTGCATCATCAGATAATGTTCTTTCAACTTCTGATGTCAAAGGTGTTATACATATGATAGAATCTATTGTTGGGGTTGCTAACGTTACATTTTTAATAACTTTTGAAGCGTCTAATTGTTCTGACGAGCAAACGTTTATTTGAGTAGCATATGCCAATTCCTCAATGTTGTTGGATGTGTGAAGTTCTTTAGTTTTTCTGCGTTTACATCGGTCACTCATAGCAGAACATTCTAACGTTCTCTTTGATTCCATTGGTAGATCCTCAGTATCGTAAATTATAATTCGTATTGAGTTAGACAGCCAATTATTGTATTTTTTTTTAAATATTTCATCTGTTTTGGAGTTTTCCCACCTTTTTTTGATAACATGAAGAAACTTAGCGAAGACAGGCTTTGCATCGTCATGTATGAAGATATTACGGTTCAGTTTTTTTGTCCACGCAGCTTCCAAAATTTCAATTTGTTTGGGCAAGCTCTCGTTCAGATCGTTCCGTAATATTATGAATATTTCTTCTTTAGTACACGTTATTACATTTCTATCTGATCCTGTAATGATTTAAAATATATGTATGTAGTACAAATTACGGTCTTGGATTTGTTTATTTTAATATTTTCGTAGATGTATAACAGTATGATTTCAGTTTAATATAATTTTCATTAAATTTATTATATTTTTAGAAGTTATCTCAATGCTACTGTTTTTAATCTGAGTTTGCACACACTTTCTGTAATAGTCGGGTAAGACGTACCTTATATAAGACCTTTAGAGTTAGCTGAAAGTTAGCCAGAGCTAAAAGTTTTTTAGTCTTGACATAATTAATTAAATCTAAAGAAATATAAATTAATACCAATGTGAGTCAACACTGACTCTAATTCATACAAACTGAGTAGTTGTTTGTGTGAATTACAGATAACTTTATTAGAAGTTATACAATAATATTATACAATATTATACATATTTGTTTATTTATATTATTGTATAATATTATACAATAATATAAATAAACATTTCGACCTTTTGGTTAGGTCCTCATCAGTATAAATTAAATCAAAGTAATAAATTTTACAAAGAAGTTCATGGGGAAACATGATGTACATTATGATTAAGATGATCTCAAATTTTTTTGAAATGCTGTACAAACATAGTCAAATATTAATTATTTTCTTAATCAAAAAGAAAAGCAAAGGCAAATTAATGACATACATATTTGAATCTGAGACGAGAGAACCACACTATACACCGATTGTTATATTAAATTGGCTGGTTTACTGTTAGAGAATGATTTATATAAATTAATAAATTATTTAATCTATATATTATCGTATATGTGTAAAATAATATAATATTACATGAATATATAAAATTGATTGGAATAAAACGTTTATTATGCTTATTTGATAATGGAGGATAATTAGTTAATTCTTACGGTATGTCTTATGATTACTGTTACAGAAAGCGTATGTAGTCCCTCTTATGCCTTTCTTCAATTTTTTGACAGCATAGTACTTGATTCTTTTATTTAGCACTGTACTATCCTACCCAGATAACATGCATGTTGCATAAGATATCTAAAAGACATCTTTTAGACATGTGTGTGTTAGACGTAAGACATCTAAAAGACGTCTTTTAGATATCTTATGCAACATAAATATTATCTGGCAGCTCTGCTTGTAATAAGGTATTTATCTAGCCGTGGCTCGATATGTATTTACATGTTTAGCAAGTGATTGATACCAAAACGAACAGAGTACAGAGCGCATGTATAAAAACTTAACGCAATACCATAGAAGCGGATAGAAGTAGCTAAATTTTTAACGAGTTGAAAGAAAAATATATAAATTAAAAGAGAGTAATAATAAGACCTCAGAATTAGATATGATGTACATAACTATTATTTAATATATGTATAGATACTTGAATTTTAATTTTTTAAAAAGATATAGTTCTTAAATAAATTTAACTTAAAACTTATAGCCCGTTTCAGAACGCGCTTTCAACGATATTAGCACGCTAATATATATGCTACAGTTTACGTTTTACGTTATGCATACTTTCCATACTTCTAGATTTCCAAGATCTCATTACATTTAAATGACGAACAATTATTGAATAATTAACTCTTAATTGTGTTGCAAGCTCATGAGTTGATTGGGCTGAATCTTTAAGCAATGCTTTAAATCGTTTAAACCAATTTGCACACATTTTAATAACTATATACAGAATTTAATCTAAGATACAGAATTTTAATTTAGAAATAAAAACGCGCTTTTATTGATCAAAAAGCGCTCTGAATACAGGTCTATATATGTAACATATAGAAATATAATAGTATTATTGTTTTCTATTATACATACCTCCAGGAATAGGATACATTTTGTGAAATTTAATTTTCTAACTCCGTTTTCGAAATGTATATGCACAAAACACTGGGTAAAATCTTCGTTATCTTCATCTGTCACGATAATTATTCCATGCGAAAAACAACCTAATTTGAACTGGAAAAATTCAGATATATATATAAGAAATATAATTCTGAAGTGGACGTTGATAGAAAATTTTAGATAGAAATTTAAATTTACATTGTTCTCAAAATAACATTTTCAAAAATTCAAAATTTTATTTCGACTCTCTTGATCAGTTTTCAAGATTTTAGTCCCCTGTGTGTCGTTTCAGATCTGTCGTTATCACGTGATTTAATAATTTTATCACGAATCTATTCATTGAGTTTGGATAAGTATTTCGACAAAAGTTTTCGCACTTTCCGTCAGACTTTGCTGTTTTCATACTTTAAAAAATAATAATTGCGAATTAATTATAATACGGACGAGTTTTGAATCTTGCCTCGTGTCAAGCTCATCGATGTCTCAAACTTTTGTCATTATATCATGAATTATATTAATTATAATAATCTTATTAATAATTTTTTGAGAAACACTAATGATCGCGTTCAGCGGACTCAAATATTACGGAGCAGATCTGTGAGCGCTTGTCGCTATTGGAGGATCTATAACAATACGCTATAATAGCAGCGAGCGCTCACGGATCTGCTCTACAATAGTTGAATCTACTGATCGCGACTATTATACTATTATTTTATGCCATGGTTTGAAATAAAATGTAGATTAATTTAGTTGTGTATATCTACAGAGTTTTGAAATAATTTTAGCGATGTCTTGTATTTTATATTATCTCATCTCTTAAATTTTTATATCATTATTAAGTTCTAACATAATATAGTAAATTAAAAAAAAACATTAATTTTTGAATATTTTACACAAAAATAATACACACGTATGATAAGATTTCGCGTTTTTAATCAGATCGATGCCGTTTTCGCATCTTGAGAAATTATTTACAGATTATATAGGTATTCAATACAAAAATTTGGAAATGACAGAAAGAGAATTATATAATTAATTGCTTAATTATTATATAATCTTGCAAATTCGTTATTTATAATGATTCTACATCTATAAATAATACAGTACCAATATTTTATATATATGCGTTTATAATATCTATATAATTATTTACACATATTATTTCCCTATATAAAAAAAATTGTAAATTATAAATAATAATTATATTATAATAATTATAATATTATTATATAATTTGCACATTATCTTATGTATTTCATTATAATGTTTTGGAAATTTAGTAATTTTATTGTAAAATTTTTTGAATATTTACACAAGAAAGAACGAAAAGTTTCGCGTTTTTTATTGGATTAACACAATTTGACAATTTGTTGGATAATTATTTAAAATACCCCCCTCACATCTAAAATCTTAATAAAAATACATTCATTTGACGTGTTTTCACTCAAAATAAAAAAATCTAGCAAAATTCAGCGATCGACCTCGTGAACCGATCAGATATTAGTTCGAGATTTTAGAGGTTAAGATATCTGTCAATTCAACTAAATGGTCGGTGGTCGCATTCGGCAAACTTAACTTGACTTATTAACTGTACAAAGTGGATCTGTGAGCGTTTACTATTCGGTTTATTACTATTGGTTAGTGATAAAAAAGAATCACGGCTTTAAAAAAGCACAAGAGCACTGCTTTAAAAACATAAATCCACTGCTAACGCAAAGAATTTTTGTTTTTATAGTAGTGAATTTGTGTAAATTAAAGTAGAAAATATTTATTTTTAAGCGTGCAATAAGTGGTTCAATAAATTAAACTGAAACAGCTGTAGTTTGTTTTACTTGTGCAGTTTGCTATGCGCTCAACGTGACACTTTTTAGAAGCAGGAAGAAGCTCGTAGATGGCGCAAGAGAAGACGAATCACGGAGACGGAAGACGGAATTCTAGGAATTCCATTTAGTGGCGCCTCTATTTACAACAAAACGTACACATGAACTACAATGAACTATGTTATATATATCACTGACATTTTAGCAGATAACCTAATATGGTATTAGCCGTATTAGTACTAACCACGGAGTTTTATTTTGTTATAAATATAGCCGTATCTTTAATTGTCATCATGTAATGACTAATGATGTAAAAAAGAGACGGAGCCAAAAACCAAACAAAAGAATTCTTTTATTATGTATTATCAGAAAAAAAGCTTAGCTTATTAATTTCTCTCATTCTCTTTGTTATATTCAGTACAACATAAAGGTTGGAAATTCATTACTGGAGTGAAAGAAGAATATATAATATTTACGAGTGAAATGTTTGCCTTGAAAGTTCTATATATTGTTATTTCGATTGCATTCGTCGTGAGTGACAGCGAGTTCGGATTTTGCGAGGCGCCTGACGAATGCATCGTGGATTCAAAAAGATGCCTCGCTGAGAATCGCTTCACAAAAAAACGGTCAGGAATTACTGAGACTTCACGTCAGAAAAAGTTGAAATTTACAAATTTGTTTTATTAAGTTTCATTAACTTTTTATAATAAGATTTTTGTCTTATGTTAAAAACAACTATATAATCAAAACATATAAAACACTGATTAAATCTCATTGTTTATATGCAATTTTCACCTCATTTTAAAATCTAAAGTCGATTCTGTGTTTTATTTCTGAACAAGGATTTTCTTTACAGTTACATCCTTTATGATATAAATCCTGCAGAAGGCTTCAACTTAAGAAGAGATGTATACATTCGTATTGCAGTTTTCTTAAGAAAATTAATTGAAAGGGACAAGGAATTCCAGTGGCAGCTGGTTTTACCACCATGGGGTAATTTATATACTAAAGAAAATGTATTCTATAAGATTTATCATTTATAGTCTCTTTCAATCTTTGTTTTAGGTAATCTATATCACTGGCGAAGTAAAAATATAGGATCTCAGGAACATCTACCGTGGGGTATCTTTTTTGACATTATGAGTTTGCAACGTTATATACCTGTCATTGAGATGTATGAATTTATGAAAGGTACATTTCTTTACATTTTTTAACTGCAAAATTATTGAAGATTAATCTTCAAGGAGTAAAGCTAAAATATATAATAAAGGCAAGATTTATTATATAAACATATATAAATTATTCAGGATTTAATTATAATTTTTGGATTATATAATAATTTATTATTAATATAATATTTGAAGTATCAGCAGGAATACATATTCTTAGAATATTTTGCTCCATTAAAATTAGAGAAAGAATATAAAATTTTCTAGATACTATATGCTTTATGCTTTGTTTCTCTTGGGAAATACATTTTGATTGACATATACTTTTTTTAAATTTTTTAGTGCAAATTTTCTAGATTTTAGGACAATTTTGTATTGAATTTCTTTTATATATACATATAATATCCTCATTTTTAATGGTATTATGAGAATTTGATATAAATGATTTATTTGACTGTATAACAGCTTGATTTTAGAGTACTCATGCGGGAACAGAGAGGTACAACTTGATCGTCTGTACATTCTACAAAATGATGAGGAAATGTTCAAGACAGGTAAATTTGAGGATAAAAATGAGGTGATAGATTGCGATCATAACTTTTTGCGATATGAATTAAAACAACATACGTATACCGGTCCATTCTGGGGCTATTCTAATGTTACGGCTCAGGATGTAAAATGTCTTAAATTTCACGGTATGGCGCGTGATCTTTCCCAGAATCTCATGCCAATGCGATACAGGTAAAATGTTCTAGATGTTTCTATCTCGCTTTTTAAGAATCTCACTAACGTTCTTGCACAGATCCATAATGTTTGATCGCATGGAGATTGCTTTACATGACGAATATGGATCTAAAGAGTATTGGAGAGCTAGACGTAGCATGCGTTATAATACTAAATTGTATAATATCGCAGAAGATTATAGGAAAACTTTTCTGAATTCTACGAATAAGAATGATAATACAGAGCGACCAGCGGATTGGACTAAGGAGAAGGTATATTGTGATTGTTATTTTTTTATATTATAATAATGATAAATTATAGTTGTGGATTCTAAGTTCAGAATCGGCGAAATGCAAGAGGCGGGCCATATTTGGCGGTTCATCTTAGGAGACGTGATTTTATCATGGCTCACAAGGCATCGGTGCCAACAATAATGAATACTGCCTTACAATTACGAAAAAGAATGGCTAAGCTTGGGCTAACCGTATTGTTTGTTGCAACAGATGCAGAGCAATACGGTATGTATATCTTGTGTAAACTTACGGTTTAAGAATTTTACGAATTCTTAAATTGTTGGAAAGTCGTTTGTAAATTTTTTTAGCCAATATGTAATCAATTTTTTTCTAAAGTTGAAAAATGTTAAAATTTTTAATTTTTAATTGACAAACGATAATAATTAATAAATAAAATGGAAAGAAAATAATCAGATTAAATAAATAAGGCAATTTCTAGTAAACTGTTCTTAAAGAAAGAAAGAAGCAATGTTCTAATTATCATATTTTTGTCAATTCTAAATGAATTTTACTTTTCAAGAAAATTTTAATTCTAGTTAATAAATATGGAATGTTAAATGTGTTACAATGACTGTTTAAAATAATATTGTTCAAAGGAAAGATCTTACACGTACTGAATACACAAGTTACTGAAAAGAATATGAATATGAAGAAAAATATTAAATAATACTTGAATAATTATTTTCAGAATTTGAAGAATTTAAGTCATATTTATCAGAGTATAAAGTCATGAAATATGTGCCATCTGATTATGTGATAAATAAATTTAAAGATGGTGGAGTTGCTATCATTGATCAAATAATCTGTTCATATGCCAGGTAAAAATGTTTATATGATGATTGATTTGTTAATAAGACGTTAAACATAGATTATTCTTTCAATAATTGTCTTTTTTATATAAATGCTAATACGTAGCTTATGATAATATAGAAATTTCAAATAATATTGCTTTTTCTTTTTAAATAGATATTTTATAGGAACACATGAATCTACGTTTACATTTAGAATACAAGAAGATAGAGAGATTATCGGATTTTCATCAGGTACTACATTTAATAAATTATGTAAGACCAATGAAGATTGTGCAATAGATGGATTCTGGTCAATTGTTTGGTGACGTTTTGCTTTAGTAATTCAGAATTTTTAATTTGTAAATTTCTTCATAACTATTATTTATTCTTTTTTAATTAATCTGAATTTTATTTGATGAATTGTAATAGCTATATAATTTGTACAAAAAAATAAATACTAAAAACAGACTTTATCACACGTCATATTTATCATTTAAATTTACATTTATAAAATCCATGACATACAGAAACATGTAAAAATCAGTGATTCAGTTAATCACGATACAAAAAATAAGACAATAATAACATGTTGTAACTAGTAGCAAATCCAAAATGTTGATTTATTTACAGGAAATTATAATTTTTTTTGTTTTTCATACAAGTTTTCTGCAACTATTTGCATTTTATTTTAGAAAAAAATTTATTATTCTGTATTAGGAAAACGAAATGAATGGAAAAATGCGAAATGCGCGTTTCCGTAATTCCAACATCCTCATAACTGATTTGTGAGCAGCTGTTTCGAATATATTCTATAAAGTTTTCGTTTCGAATTTGTGTAAGGAATCACACCTTAAAATCTCTTAACGTACTTAAGACACACTTTATAATTTATATACAAAGTGTCCAACATTATCTCTAAAGCTTCTTCCAATATTTTACTATATGTATAATAACCACAATCATTGCACAAAAAACGTTGGGTTATCCCTTCTCGTCAAATAATGCAAGCGTTTATTGATATTTCGCGGATTTTTATCATATAATTAATTTTTTATTAGGTATTATTAACCCGATAAAGAACTTTTATATTCTATCCACGAGAGAGCAATTAACAGACATCTATATATACATTAAAGTACACAATTTCTCTAATTATTCTTTATTTAAAGGTATCACAATGATTAATAAAACTATTTTGTTTAATAAAACTAAATGGTAATATTAAATTCCTTTTCAAAAATGTTACGTAACATTATTAATTTATTTAGTTTTATTTAAATATATGATAATGACTATATATGATGTTGAAAATCAAATTTTCGAAAATTGGTCTTATTTATTATTTGTAATTACTCACATAATTTGATAAAAAAAAAAAACAATAATATTGTTTTTCTAATATATAATTAATTCTTTCAAAATATATGTACATTTCCAAATTTTAATTAAACTTATTTATTTTGCAAAGTTATTTCAGTTATTACTCGATATTTTTCGTATTTTATCTACGATATCCTTTTACAATTTTGTATTGCTTACAATTATTAAAAAAAGATCTTGTTATACAAGAAATCGTATAATTCTTGTTTCATTAAGATCGCTTCCGCTCCCTTTCATTCGAGTGAAACGCTTTTTAACGAGGATTCATACATGTATGCGAAGAGAAAAGCCTCTTTTTCCCATACTTGATACTTGTATGTACATTCACATAATACTTTTCATGTGGCGACACGGCAGATGTCTTGCTCGTGATAAACTTACGAAGATTATGTCGTTTTACGTAACACTCGGCCGTCTTAATGTCTTAATTGACATCCTCCGATTGAAAAGCATTATAACACTTTCGTAATATTAAATTCATCACTAATCGAAAAATCATGTGGCAACTCCAGAGCGTTTGCGTAATCGCTTTATTTACTCGTTTAAAGACACTTCGTATAACGGAGAATTCTTTCTTTGAACTCGTAATACACTTTACCGTGTATTTTTCTCTATTATTAATATTGTAGAGCGTCTAACGGTTTATAAAAATTTTGTTATCTTCGTTTTATTTGCGAGATTTAGGGACAGGTAATTTTGCGGAAGTTGCGTACCTCGAAGAAAGTAATAGACGTGTGAAGAAAGAAAGTTTGCACGCACATAGCATATGCATACATTGCATGCATAGAACTTATTTCTCAAGAAAATTGAAAATATCCAATAATTACAAGAGTCTGCGATTGAAGAGTGGAAAATAGCTTTGAGATAACATAAAAAAACCAATGATAAACAGTGCAGAATGGAGTGCATTACCATGATTATACTATATATGATATAATATAGAAATAATATATGCATATTGCGTTATATGCATATATGTATATGCATTGGCGTCTACAAAGTAACTTGATAAAGTACGAGGTCAAGTAATAGACGAGCCTGAGATCTCGCAGATAACAATCTTGCGAAAATTCTTGTCTGTGTTTAATTATTTATACATCCAGATTTCATAATGCTGTTTGTAAACTACACGCGATTACTTAGCACGCGATGCTTAAGAATAGAAATTATAAAAAACTGTAGATACTAACGTGTCAGTCTTTTACATATTAAATAGTTCTTTGTAATAATTATATGAACAACACATTATACTCTTAATTGGTTTTAACAATTTTCAAGAACGTAACCCAAAATTTTAATTAATTTGATGGATGTATGTACAATAAATGGTAAGAACAATTTTGTTATGGAATCTCTATAAAAATTTATAGACAAACACAGATGATATAAAAATAGTTTGTTGGATTATTAAAATAATGTAAGAAATTTAAGCATAACGAGGCAAAAAAATTTAATTTGAATATCCTATATAATTATTTTGATATTCTATATAATTATTTTAATATTCTACATATTACTTTGATATCCTACATAATTATTTTGCTTCTACAAAATTATTTTCAGATTTGTATACAGGGTACATTTTTATCAACTATACGTATAGATAGAAAATAAAGGCTTTATTAAACAGTCAAGAATCTTTAATACTTAAATAATTCGGTGTGAATTTATATATTATACATAATCAATCCTGCGCGCCGAATTTAATTTTCATGTCTTAATACAATTGAAATGAAATAATAGAACTGGAGTAAGTAATAATTAATATACATATCACAAAAATTACATATACATTTTTAGATACTTTAGCACGCCCATATTATAAACCCTTCTTTGAAATGAGCGGATCAAAAATGTGGATCTCGCACAATCTAGAATGGAGAAAGGAAGATTCGCTGGTCGAGTTTTCGTCGCCTGGGGCGAACCCGAAAGTTTTCGCTACTCGATCAGAAAGTACTGGACCATAACGAAACATCGATCGAACGAGTATCACACAGTATATACTGTATGGTCTTGATTCTCTAATAACGTCGTTGCATTACGTGTATATGTCATTAGTCATTGCAGTTCTTGCACGAACTGATTTCTTCCCGTTGCTCTCAAGCACGATTCGGTTGCTTCACACGCCTCCGTGCCCCAACTATGATCCTAAGATTCATTTTTTTTTTTTGCTTATAATGATAGAACTTTCGTAAGGTTCTCCATACTTATGAACCAATAAAAGTCATCGGTATTCCTCTCATGTTAATTGTGATTCATCACGAGATAGCATTCACGTAGAAATTGCGAGAAGAATTTTAATAAATTTGCAACAAAATATATAAATTTGTAACGAAGACACATACAAAATAGAAAACGTAGATACAATTTGCAAGGTGATTTACATAATATTTACATAATTTTGTTATAAATTGCATAATTTAAGAAAACAGGCGTGCGAAGGCTTAACAAGCTGCATTTCCGCGAGCGCGCGTCGTTGAGCTGCGAAGAAAATAGCGTTATCGGAAGCGGTGTATGAAAAAGGCAAGAGTAAAATGGTACGTCGCGCATTTGCTCATTCTTCGGAACGCCAATGCTTGAACGGAAACGAAAATGGACCGATGTCCATTCAAGCGTTCGTTCGATCTCGATCATTGTTAAGTAATAGCTAATGGATGAATGGAATCACTCGCGTAACGTTCCTGTTCCGATTTTTTATTTGTGATAAGGAAGAGGAACAAAAGGGGTTTCTTTATACCTTTTCGATCAAGATCTAATGGTTTTGCTTAAAACAAATGCTTTTTGCAAATGTTTATTGATAGAGAGGAAACTTTTGAAAGTTATATTAAATAATACTTAATAAGTCTTAAAAAATTTTTATTATTAATGGAATTTAAAAAAAGATCTAGGAAAGTTAAAAGTAGAGCAAGTCGAATGAAAAATAGATTCTAAATAAATTATAGGAATAAATCAATTGCTTCACTGACAAAACAATGTTGGAAGTATCTCTAGAGAAGTTAAATAATCTTTTCATTCTTTTCTTTAAAAAAAAAATACAAATTGCAGGATAAGATTTGATGATAAACTATATAGACTATATAAACTTTTTAATTTTAATGATTTTTGGAGTCTTTTATTTTTAAATAGCCATTACAACAACAAACAAGCAAAACGTTTCATCCAAATTTAACTAACATAATATATAATTTTTGTATTTTAAAAGGCATTTAAATGAATTTTAATTAACAGCAACGTGGACATTGCCAAGACATAATACGGTCCTTCACCCTACCCCATTATAAGAAAATATGAAGAAAAGAAGTGGGTTCCTTCTTTGTTGACGTTCACCAGCCTACCTGGTGGCTGTCTCCCACTTGACGGACCGCGAGAACTCTTCCCGCATCGCAGAGAAGTAAAACTCTCGGACGTTTTCCGATCTCCAACAGTCCCGAACTTGTCCCCGTCAACGCGCGAACTCGTTAGGTCCCGCAACTGGTAACTAGCGTATCGGCTCAGCCACTTCCTGATCTCGTTTCTTTCTAGACACAGAGAGAAAGAAAGAAAGGAAGACGCCACTCTGAATTCAATGCCTGATACCTCCTGGACACGAGAAACGCTTGTCCGCGTGATCAAGCGAGAACACCGATAAGATCAAGAAAGCAAAGAACAAACGTCAAAAACAATAGGGATACCTTGCGTCTGATCACACGAGAGAAATTTTTTAAGGGGAAGGCAGAATTCATCTTTATTTATAAGGATTGTCGACTAAGAAAGGCTGCCAAGAGAGCAACTGTAAATTAGGCAAGAGAGGATTTTCTGATGTACCGGTGGTGAAATTTGATAGAAGGATACAACAGGTGCTTCATCGTAGTGTGGACGTCGATTTAAAGCCGGGAACAGAGTTTATCCTTCCGTGATGAGGCAGAGATACTTCTTGTGCTTTTTGTGGACCGCATTGATACTGCGGGGAGACATCCTTGTGGCAGCTGAGGCCGATCCAGCAATTTTAAATGGTGCTGACTTGCCCCATCTTCAACAGGTGAGTAAGGAAGCAATAATTCATTTTGTGTATATATTTTACTATCATATAAAAACATTAAATTATGAAAATACATTTAATATTATTCAAATACGAAAATGATTCGATCAAAGTTCTAGAATTTCATGATTCCTTCGCGTTTTCTAATTTTATTTTATTTAAATTTGTAGAAATATCGAGCGACAATTTTCAACAAATTACTTTCATTTTCCTTAATTAACTTTATCGCGCAACTTTCTCTCACATCAAAAAACTTTCTTCGATCGTCCGGCAAAATATTTGCGTAATGGAAGTATAACGATGCGAAATTCGTCGCAAGTGTCATGGATTAATGTTTGGCTAAAAGCGGTGTTATAAATGTGATTTCTCACGCGTTTAATCTTAATTCAGTTTCGTTCCATCGGTATAATAATGTGCCATTCATTCATATTGATTTAAAAATAAATAAATAAAAATAATAAAATGTTTACACGGAAAAGACGGTTTTGCTAAAATGTCTAAAATAGCTAAATACAAGTCTAAAAATAATTTTATTGGACTATCAAAATAATAATGTAGGACGCTCAAACCGATTATTATACTAGAACGTCGAAATTTTTTGCCCCTTATGATCGAGATTTCTATAATTATTTGGATATTCCAATTATTTTTAGATCTGTACACATCTAGCTAAAGTTTTAAATACTTCAGCAAACTCGTTCTTTCTGTGTACGGAAAAAATAAAATGTTTACGAAATTCTTTGCATTTCAGTTAGTCACAAAGCAATTGAGAATAACATTCTCAAATGGAAGTTATTCTTAGCATCTCATTAATTCGCGTGTCTCGGCTCAAAAATCGCTCGGTGATAAGATCAGTTTCCTTACTCATTTTGAAAGCAGCAATCCATGGTGATAAAATCCTATAAGCGCGAATAAAAATTTAAATGCACCTGCAATTATCGCTGAAACAGTACTTACATCCAAATGAATTGTATAAACCACAGAACGCTCTGTGGCGAAAGTAATTGCTTCATTATTCTTTATCGCCATGAAAATTTTATTCGTGAAAAAGTCATAAAGCTGCACTCTTGTAAAAAGTTGGTTTTACTCCTGTTGTCCAAAAGGATTGTGCGCGATAATCTCTGAACTATTATAAATAATAAAAGATAAATAACATTAAAAATATAATAAAAAGATAATATAAAATATAAAGATAAACAGATATTACATTTTTAATAATAATGCAGATTATTCTTTAGAAATATGATTATAAGCGATCAGTTACCTGATTATTAATCAGGTATATACCTAACATTTGTTATTCGTTTCATATCCGTTTACTCAATTAGAAAAAATATTGAATTAATTTAAACAATAAAACAGATAAATGTAACATTAATAGCACAATAAAAAATAATATAAAGTTATAAAGATGAATGTGGTTATTAAGTTTTTAGTAATAATATAAATTATTCTCTAAAAATATGATTTAAGCGATCACTTACGTTAATCAAGAACATACTTAACTTCGTTATTAACATATCCGTTTACTTGATCAGAAAAGATTGAATACTCAATCAAACCGCGAATTTAACAGTAATGGAAAAGTTATTTTACTCAAATTGAAGCTTCGTGTTCAGATGATTTCAGAGATTCACCATCAATCTTACTCTCGTTTCCGCAATGAATCCTTTGACGTTTGATTGGATTTATTTCGAAATTTCTCTAGGACTCGATTTAATGTACCGCTTCGGGCACGTAGATTACTCGCGAGCGCAGACGAGTATGCAGATTTAATGAAATTGCTGAGCCTGACGTAATCAGGCCGTTGCTAGTGCGCCCATTGCATCGTGAATCCTCTGGCTATCTATTTCAACGATCGCAATAAAATTTCACTAGCGAGACAGTAACTGTGCGTAATAAAGAAAAAAAAAAGACTCGCGCTTTGCGTTAATTACGCTCTCCATTCGTCTTCTCTCATAAAGACAAATATGGAATCTATATTATATTCGCATCTCACGCTCGCGTCTGTTCATCAAATACTCTTCACGACGTATCTAATTGAAATAGAAGGCGCAGGAAACGAGCATTGCCTAGAAAGCGATATAATTTATGTGTTTAATTAATCCATTTTACACAGCATTGGTTTATAGATCTGATAATTCAACTATGTAACAAATTAATTTATTCAAGCATTTACAAACGTATGGAAATAAAACCTTTGCTTTAATTTTTATCATAACATATGATAAAATAATACATATATGCTCTTAAGTTAAAGCAAAATTAGCGCAAAATATTAATTATTTTCTCTTTCTTTGAAGTTAATATATATTAAATGTTCCAATCTTTTTAATAGAAAAGTAATTTAAATGAATATATTTAATGAATTTTTGTACACTATATTTAACAAAACCACGCAGAAAGAGAGAGAGAGAGAGATCTGCACTTTCAGAAAAATACAAAGTATTTGTCTAAAATTAAATTGGCATTATATGTAATATTAATAAATATACCTTAATTACGGAAAATATATAAAAAATAATAATTCTCATAAAATACAGACAAAGTATGCAAATTATAATAATGACATGATAATATTAACTATGGCATATGAAAAATAAATTAATTATATACAAATTAATTAACACATAATAAATATGCAATTAATTAACGCTTGATAAATATTATAGCTATTTTGTAAAATTGACAATTCAGTGACTGATGATTGTGAAATATATTGTCATCAAATTTTCTGTATATCATCGTAATATTTTATATTTAACCTACTTCTGTTTAGTGCATGCTTTCACAGAAAGAGAAAGATACCTGTTCGTGTTGTCAATTTGAATATTCTTTCTCTTAGATCGGACCGTTCAGTACGTTACGAAAAGAACTCTGAAGCGCAAGATCGTAAAACAACAGAGGCTGCACGAAAGTAGAACCGCATGAGTGCTCACCCACTAACAGAGTGACTCTTGACCCCCCCCCCCTCTCATTTTCTATGCCATCTTTCTCTTTCTCATATCTTCTTTTACGCTTCCGCTCTACGTATTTTACATCTGGACCATATTATCCATTCCGTATATCCTTCTCAGCATATTCTAATTGCTAGGTTTCTCTCTGAAATCGATTCCCCGCATGAATCAAGAATGTATACAAAATTTATGAAGTCTCTCATGCTAATGAAAAATTCATAACTTAAAAACGAACACCATAATATTGAAGAATAAATCTTGAAGTGCCAATTTTCTCTCTCTCTCTCTCTCTTAGACAATAATTGTCGCCTATTAAATTTATGATAAACGTGTAAAAGTGTTGGTCTTTCTTAAAAAAAAAAAAAGATCTTAGCATTTAAATATTTTCAGTTTCTCTATAAATAAAAGATTATTTATTCTTTTTCTTTGAAAAAAAATCTTTTGATAGCCAACACGTGTGATAGCTTTATTAATGAAAATAAATAATATTTTGTAAATAATCTCTCTTTATATTATATAATGCGGGTAATCTAAATGGAGAAAGGTTACTTTTGAAAAGTAATTGTCACTAATTGTATATCGAGAGTGGATGCGTATGGATCCAAACCGTGTGGAACGTATCCGATCGCGAGACCTTTCACTTAGACTACTGAGAAAACATTCAAGTTTCCATGTACAGTATGAAAAGTATCTCGTGCGCGTGTAAAAGGAAATACGAGGACATCCAATTGAAGTAGCTTCCGGTTCGAGCGTCTCCTCTTCCGGAAGCTTTTTGAACGATGTACGCTGGGTACAATGCATAAACACGTTGCGTATAGACAGGAACTTTCTAATATACGAATAACGAGGGAATATTCATCTTTATCAGAGAAGATATAACTGATTAGATATAACTGATTAGATATTTACATTTGATATTCAGAATAGCGCGGTGCGTTTTGTATAAGTAGCATAATGATAACTCTCGCGTAACATTTTGCATCAACTCGTTTTTGCTATCATTATTGAAATTTAAATATTAAAATAACCTATTATTATATAAATAACATATGATAAAATAATTTATTTTATTACATATTATTTGTATATATTTAATATATATAAAATAATCTTTCTATAAAATAATAAAGTATCTAAAACTCTATTGCAACAACGTTACTTCAACTTGCGAGATTTAAAAGTCTCTCTATCACTCCATTTCTCTTGGCTTTAAAGAAAGAAAATGAGAGTTTTAAGCCTTATCAAGTAACGTTAGTGCAATCAGATGTAGGTCGAATAAGGGCTAGTATTGAATAAAACCTACTTTTAAATTTATTATTAGAAACGCACTTTGCGTCTATAGAATACATGTTTAAAAAATATGTCATAGGAAGAGTAGATAAAAAGGGAATTAAAAATAACTTCAATAATACGTTTGTTTAATGCAACCAAAACTTGTGTATATGATTTATTTTTAAAATAATTTGTTCACCAAGTATTATATATGTTATTTTATAATTATCATATAATATTATTCAATTTCCTAGCTAAGAAAAAATTACAAATAAATCGATTTTTTAAGATAAGTATATCTTTTTAGAAATCATAAATTCTTTTACTAAATAAGGATCATTTATGTGATTATTGTTACAATATTTATATAGGACTTACGTCAAAGGATAACAAGTTTCAACACTGTTAACTTTGAAGAAGCTAAAATTGCATTCAAATTGCTAGAAATTATCAATGATTAAAAGATTGTTATAGACAAAATTAGATAATTGTGATGTTTAAGAGTAGAATAAGTTCTAAGTAATTTTCTTTTAATTACTAATCATTTTTTAAATTGATCTGGAAAGATAACATTTGCTTTTATTGTTATTATTTATATAATTTATTTTTTACTTGGTCCTTATTTATGTGCATGTGTAATAAGACCTAATGTTAAAAAACGGTTGAAGTTCAAAACAATTTTGTATTTATAGATATTCTGTATATAGAATATATACTCTATTTTCGTGAGTGAGTGAAGTACAGATTTTATTCTTCATAAATTTTAGTATT